TCAGCTCACTCGTCCCGCCGCCGCCTCGGAGCCACTGCGCTGCAGACACAGGCCGCACCATGAAGCCGGCCCTCTTACCCTGGGTCCTGCTGCTGCTGGCGACAGCCCCTGGCCCAGGCCCTGGGCCCACAGCAGGTATGCCCCCTATCCTCTGTACCCAATCTGTCTGACCAACTGCCTGCAGCAGCCAGGCCAGACCCCCTCTGGACTCAGCCTCTGTCCATCTGTCAGGCCATCTGTGGCTGTATTTAGGGGGTTGGGGGGAGAGATTCTGAGGGCCCATGGTTGAGGGGCCACCAACAGGATTGTAAGGTCTGGGCCGTGCCCACCCGAAACCCGCTGGGAGCTGGGAGGGAGGCTGGGAGACCGGCAGAGCCCTCGGTCTGCACCCCAGCCCTGATGGAGGGTATGATTGTGTGTGGGGAGCTAGGGCTGTGGGTCCTCATAAGGGTGGGGTGGAACCTCGGAAAGTCGAGGGGAAGTCTCGAACTACTGAGCCAGAATTTGGGCCCCTGACCACCCTCACCCCTGTTTCCGCCTGCCCTCCCTCACTTATCTCTCTCACAGCGTCTCAGCCTCCTCCCCACACCCACGAGCCATCTCCTCCTGGCCAATAAATATTTAGTCACTCTTTAGTGCCTGGCACCGCACTTAGTCAAGTGGGGCCGGCTCAGGCCCAGGCCTAGCCCTCAACTGGCCTCCTTTGAGAGGGTGGGGAAGAGCCAGGTGGGATGTGTGACCCTGCCTGGGTGCTTGCAAACCCCTCCCCTCAGCCACTCCCTCTAACCCGTCCTCCATTCCAGCTCCTGACAATAGGCCCTGCCGCAGGTCCCATGGCCTGCAGGAGATGGCTTAGGCCTGACATCCACAGCTGCTCATGGTGCACCCCCCCCACACCCCTCTTCCCACTACTGGGCCCCTGCTGGGAATGTCCCTCATCCCTGAAAAGGAAAGGAGCATTCTGGCCTCTCCCCTTCCCTTCCTCAAGGGTAGGGTTCTCTTTGGAGTCTCAGTTTTGACCCTGAGAGTAAGATGGGTCAGGTTCTGCCCAGACACTAACCACTCCCTACTGGGCCTCAGATGGGACTCCTAGCAGCCACATGCCCAGATCCCAGCCCAGAACAGCAACAGAGGTCCTTCCCCAGGCTGTGGGGCCCCAGGAAGGCATGCTGTCCACAGATACCTCAGGGAATCGAGAGAGGTCCCAGAACCACCATGTCGAGGGCTCAGGCCACAGTGGCCCTCTGAGGACTCCTACCCTTTGAGATGTAGGACTCGGTGACTGAAGGTCCATCATGCCTGGGGGCTTCTCCTGACCATGCAAGGCTGAGTGTACGGTCATCTCTTCTAGCTGCATCCTAGCCACTTAGGCTGGGCAACAGCCAGATGATCTATATGAAGCTCTTCCCAGCCCCATGGGCCCTGTGTTTTTCCACTGTGCCTACGTGGTGGCCAGTGCGATTCCTGGCTGGCGTCCTCCTGGGGATGCTACTCTCTAATGGCCTGTGCGGGAAATAGAGACAGGTGCTGTGCACAAGCAGCTGGCCAGTGCCCACTCGGGCCCTTTCCTCCAGATGCCCAGGAGAGCTGCTCCATGCGCTGTGGGTCCCTGACCGGGCCATGTTCCTGCCACCCAACCTGCTCTGGCCTCGGCACCTGCTGCTCAGACTTCCATGACTTCTGCCTGGAGATCTCGCCCTACTCGGGCTCCATCATGGGCGGCAAGGACTTTGTGGTGCAGCACTTCAAGACGTTCAGCCCCACAGACGGGGTGATCTGCAGGTGGGAGGCCTGAGGGGCCGGCCACCAGGGCCCCACACCCCATCCCATGCTGCCGGGAGCCCAGACCCATGGCTGGCTGAGTGGAGCCCCTCAGACCGAGGACAGGCAGGAGGGCACAGATGGGTTCCCCAGGACGTCAGGAGGCCGGGCCTCTGAGAGGGTCAGCCTGCACTGACCCAGCCCCTCCTACCACCACTGTCCCACAGGTTTAAGGAGAGCATCCAGACACTCGGTCACGTGGACTCCTCTGGGCAGGTGCACTGCGTGTCGCCCCTGCTCTATGAGAGTGGCCGCATCCCCTTCACCATTTCGCTGGACAATGGCCGTTCCTTCCCTCGCTCAGGCACCTGGCTGGCTGGTAAGCCCTCACCCCGGGTTCCCACCAACACCCTACACCCACAGGGACTTTCCCCAGGGCTAATCTATGCACACCGAGACTTGGCGCACCTGTACCCTGCCACTCTGGCTGAACCAGTCCCCAGAGTGGCCCGATCACAGGATGGGGACACCTTCAGCTCCTCTCCCCACCCCAGCATCCAGACAGCGGTCCCAGCCCAGAGTGAGTGGGGGCTGCAGAGGTCCCCCACTGAAGAGGACTAGTGCCTGCCTGCTCAGCTCAGCCAGGCCAGGGCAAGACAGAGAGAAAGCTGATCAGAGACCAGAGGCCTGGGTGATGGAGGGAGTGTCCTTTTCTGCCCTGAGGATCCGGGCGAGACCATCATGCAGCTGCTGTGGTGCCCTGTCCTTGGGAGGCCCCTGCAGCCCTGGACCCTCACTCCCCCCTCCCCCCTGCCCAGTGCACCCCAACAAAGTGTCGATGACAGAGAAGAGCCATTTGGTGAACGAGACATACTGGCAGTATTATGGCACCTCCAATGCCACCGGCAACCTCAGCCTGACCTGGCTTCCAGAAGCACTGCCCACCCAGGCTGTCACCATCGAGCTGTGGGGCTATGAGGAGATAGGTGAGGTCTGCCGAGGGCTTCGGGTACCTCAGGAGCTTGGGTTCTCAAGGGTGGGAGAAAGGGAGTCACGGGGGGAAGAGGGAGCTTCCAGGTGGGGCTGAGGGATCAGAAGGAAGGTGTGCAGGGGGTGAGGGAGAGGAAAGGACATCTCTTTGGCCAGGCAGTTGGGAGGGGAGCTGCCACATGGAACCCAGCTCCTTGGGCGACACATGTGCTGGACACAGAAGCAGCTTGCTCTGACCCACGTCTCTGAGCCCTGCATGGTTGGGCCTGACCTGGAGCAGGGACAGGGACCCTAGAGTTGGGGGGAGGTGGTGGTCACTTAGACTAGAGCCCCTACCAGAACAGCAGGCAGTCCCTCCTACTCAGACCACCCTCTCGTCTCTCCGCCCATCAGGCTACTCCAAGTGCCAAAGTCAGGGGCCAGGTCCCTTGCCTTTCTGAGGGTCCCCAGAGGGGCACCGGGGCTAACAAGGCCTCTTCTTCCTCAGGGAAGCCATACTCAGAGGAGTGGACAGCAAAGTGGTCATACTTGTACCCCCTGGCCACAAACATCCCCAACTCTGGCTTCTTCACCTTCACTCCAAAGCCTGCTCCTGCCGACTACCAGGGATGGAGAGTGGGTGCACTTCGGATCATCGACAGCAAGAACTACGCTGGAAAGAAGTAAGGGTGGGGATGCAGAGGAGGGGCTGGGCCCAGCTGCCTGTCAACCACCCATTGTGCCTGCCCAGGAAGCCAGGGTGGGGTGGGGAGTGGGGCGGCCGAGGGGCAGTGCGACCCCCAGCACAAATACTGTCCCACTCAGGGATGTGCAGGCACTCTGGACCAACGACCACGCGCTGGCCTGGCATCTGGGTGATGACTTCCGGGCAGACCCCATGGGCTGGGCCAGCACGCAGTGCCAGGCCTGGGAGGACCTGGAGAACCAGCTGCCCAAATTCCTGGACGAGCTGCCTGACTGCCCCTGCACCCTGGAGCAGGCCCGGGCCGACTCTGGCCGCTTCCATGTGAGCCCGCATCAGGGCCCAGGAGAAGGGACAGCACGGGGGTGGAGAGGGAGGCAGAGGCTCCCAGGAGGTGGGGCTGGGGTCTGTGGGCTCCTGCAGGGTGGGCTTTGGGGAGGGGGCTGGCAGATCTCAAGACCAGCAGATGACAGCCACGTGCCACTCTGCAGACGGACTATGGCTGTGACATGGAGCAGGGCAGCGTGTGCACCTACCACCCGGGGGCCATACACTGTGTGCGCTCCGTGCAGGCCAGGTGAGCATCCAGGCAGGGACGGCAAGGTGGAGTGTAGGGCTGAGCCAGGCTCCTGACCGCAGTTCTAACCTGCTGACACTGCAGCCCCCGATATGGCTCGGGCCAGCAGTGCTGCTACACAGAAGACGGCACGCAGCTCCTGACGGCTGACTCGAGCAGCGGCAGCACCCCGGACCGCGGCCATGACTGGGGCGCACCCCCATTCCGCACGCCTCCCCGCGTGCCCGGCATGTCACACTGGCTCTACGATGTGCTCAGCTTCTATTACTGCTGCCTCTGGGCATCCAACTGCTCCCGCTACATGGAGCTGCGGCCCTCCAGTGACTGCCGCAACTACCAGCCCTCGCGCCTGGGTGGGTTTCTGCCTGGGCCCGGGAGGTTCGGGCCGGCCAGGCTGGGTGCGCCTGCCTGACCCTCTGCTCTCACCCCAGCTTCTGCCTTTGGAGACCCGCACTTTGTGACCTTCGATGGCACCAGCTTCACGTTCAATGGGCGTGGCGAGTATGTGCTGCTAGAGGCAGCGCTGACTGACCTGAGGGTGCAGGCTCGGGCCCAGCCTGGGACAATGCCCGATGGTGAGGCCAGAGGCCATGGGGGGCACCAGGTCATCGGGGTGAGAGGCTAGAGACACATGGTCCCACTCTGCACCCATCTCCACAGGCACGCAGATGCGAGGCACAGGGCTGACTGCGGTGGCCATCCAGGAGGGCAATTCAGATGTGGTGGAAGTCCGACTGGCCAACAAGACAGAGGAGCTAGAGGTGCTGCTGAACCAGCAGGTGCTCAGCTTTGCCGAGCAGAGCTGGATGGACCTGAAGGGTGAGTGTCCCACCCAGCAGACCCCAGGCTGCCCTGGCCTCCTTCCCCCCACTGCGGGCAGCTGAGGCCAGCCCTGGGCCTTCACTCCTGTCCCCAGCCCTGGCCGAAGGCCAAGGGTTGTCCAGGACTCACGTGCAGACGGAGGCCTCTTGGGGCTGGGAGATGGCCCGGCACAGCATGCCAGTGGGTGAATCTATGGCCCTGCCCACAAATATCTTGGGCCCAGTCAGAGGTCTGATCTCAGACCTTTACAGCCACAGAGATGCCCACATTGTATCCATGGGGCTAGTCAGAGCCCTGAGAGGCTGGGACAGTGGGACATGCCCTCCTGACATATAGCCCGAAGGAGGCTGGGAGCCATACGCAGGGGATTGGCCCTGGCGGTTCTTGCTGCTGGTCTCCACAGCACCACCCTGTGCTGTAGTCAGTCAAAGCCACCATAAGGAAGCTGGCTGCACAGTTAAGATACAGCTCAGACATGGCAGCTCTTGCCTCAGAGAACCGGATGAATGAAGTGGTTCCCAGCTGGGATGGGTGACCCCTGAGGGTGCAGGGCCTAGGCAGGAAGGACTCCCATGTGCCACCTCAGCATGGAGATTCCCTGCAAAGCCGGGGGTTCTGACTGGGGATAGTGGGGTGTCCTGGTCAGAGGGTTGGCCCTGGGGATGCCTCCCTGCAGGTTCTCCCACCCCACAATCTGCAGGTGATGACCACCCTGTCCTGGGCTGCAGGAGAGCGGGGCACAGTACCCACAGTGGGTGACCCTGGCCCATCCCCACCTGTGCCCAGGTATGTTTCTGTCAGTGCCTGCCAGTGACAGGGTGTCTGTCATGCTGGCATCGGGGGCTGGCATGGAGGTCAGCGTGCAGGGCCCATTCCTGAGTGTGTCCGTCCTGCTGCCTGATAAGTTCCTCACCCACACCCGTGGCCTCCTTGGGACTCTCAACAATGACCCCACAGACGACTTCACCCTCCGCAGTGGGCAGGTCTTGTCCCCCAGCACCAGTCCCCGGGAGCTGTTCCAGTTTGGAGCTGACTGTGAGTAACCTATGATGGATGCCAGGCAGAGAGGGTGGGGTATTGGGAGCATGCACAGGCAGGGGCTGTGGACCAAGGGGAGACCCCAACCCTTGGCCACCACACCCAGCCGGGCCTGCCTGTGTCTCACAGGGGCAGTGCACAACGCATCCTCCCTGCTCACCTACGACTCCTGGTTCCTGGTCCACAACTTCCTGTACCAACCCAAGCATGACCCCACATTTGAACCCCTCTTCCCTGGCGAGACCACCCTCAGCCCCAGCCAGGCACAAGAAGCTGCCAAGTTATGTGGGGACGATCATTTCTGCAATTTTGACGTGATGGCTACTGGCAGCCTGAGCATGGGTAACACCACACGGGTGGCTCACCAGCTGCACCAGCATCGTGTGCAAAGCCTGCAGCCAGGTGAGGGCGGGCAGGGGCAGGGATGAAGTGAGGGGGCAGCTTGCCCTGGGACAATACCCCCAGGCCGACTGCGGGCCACCCAAGGTGGCTATCAGCTCAGGCCTGTCATCTGCACTCTACTCTGCCCCAGTGGTGTCCTGCGGCCGACTGGGCCCCCCTTCCAATGGACAAAAGGAGGGCAACAGGTACTTGATGGACTCCATCGTCAGCTTCCACTGCAATGATGGTTACAGCCTGGAGGGGGCAGGGATCAGCACCTGCCAAGCCGACGGCACCTGGTCCACGCCCACCCCAAGGTGCCAGCCAGGTGAGGATGCCCGCCCCCACACCTGCCCCTGTGCCTGTGAGCCCTCTGCCCCAGGTTGCCCTTACACTCTCGCCCCCGCCAGGGCGGAGCTACGCGGTGCTGCTGGGCATCATCTTCGGAGGCCTTGCGGTGGTAGCTGCGGTCATGCTTGCCTACGTGCTCCTGCGCCACAGAAAGGGCAACATGTGAGACCCCACCCAGCCCCGCAGCCCCTCCTCAGTTCCCTTAAAACCCTGAGCAGCCACCAGGTCCACCCACCTGCTCCAAAGTGCTTCTCTGTTGCAGACACGTCTGGGGCTCACAGCCCTGACAGGAGCCACTCAGCCAGCAGCACCAGGCCAAGGCCCTGCCTCCCAGAAGACAGCCTGGATCCCCGAGGACATGCACCCCAGTCCTGCGACCTCTGCATCCTTAGGACCAGACAGTGGGGATATGGACACCTGATACTTGGGCCTTTGATGCCAGACTCTGTCATCTCAGCCCCGAGGCAGAAGGCTGGTGTTCTGATGCCCCAGCCCCTACTGTCAGTGCTCCATGTTGTTCCCCAAATATGACGGCAAGAATGCTCCAGACCTGAGACTTCAACTGGAATTAGTGCCTGGGTCCCGAGCCCTGACACTCTTGCACCTGATACTCAAATTCCAATACCTCACCCCCCGCAGCCTGGCTCTGGTGCCCCCATCTCTGACCTACAGAGACCTACTGCCCACTGGGGGGCCCAGTGCAGGGCTGCCTTGGCTCCTGGAACCCCAGGACTGACTTGAGACCCCAGATGGGCCCAGCCCTAGGGTGAAAAGAGACCTCAGGACCCAGAGCAAGACCCCCATGGGAGAGACCTCCCTCTGCACGCCAAGATTATAATTCTAACTCTCTGGAAGGTCGCTCAGGAAGACCCCTCCCTGCTTGTATGAGGAGAAAACAAGCCCCTGTATTCATTCTCTGGTGTCCTGGTGTTCAGGTTGTGCCTCGGTTTTGGAGAGTTCCACAATCACCCCCCGCCAACAGTACCCAGAGTGACCAGGATCTGAGTCCTGCGTGCTTTGTCCCAGGTCACTGGGACATGTCTTTCCCCAAACTCTCATCGTGTGTAGTCGTATCGAGAACTGTGGCCACCTCATGGGGAGGCAGAGCAGTGTCAGCACGGGGCTCAGCACAGGTGCCACATGGGTGCTCAGGACACGGGGAGGGGCAGGCCAGGCCCACCCTCCCCTGCGAAGGCTCCTGCCCTTTTCACCCCACCCTGGCGTCCCCTGAGAAGTGCTGCCTGGTCTAGGCCCTCCCCTTTCCTGACACTGCCCTGTGGCTGAAGCTCCGTGGCTGGGCAAAGTCACTCTGGTAGGGCCACGTCCAAGTCCTCAGGTAACCAGGGCCCGTTTTCCTTAACCCAGGGACGTCTAGCAGCAAGGCATAGACTGGGCCTTTGCCGCTGCAACCCCCCTGGGCAGCTCCTGACCTGCTCTTCCTGGAACTGGGCATGGAGGGGAGGGGATACCAGGGAGGCAGAGACCAGGAGCCAGCTGGAGGATGAGCAGAGCCCCAAGTCCTTTGTGGAGAGGGAACCACACAGGGCATAGTCAGGGTACGATGGGTCAGATTTGCCCGGTAGATCTCAGGTGGAGAAAGTGCTGGGGAGGGCAAGGCTGGAAGTCAGCACTCCCTGACCCAGCCGTAATGGGGCTGGTTGCCTGTGGATGGAGACGCCTGTGTGGAGTGAATGGAGCCCCAGAGGGGCCTGCAGTGTAGGGAGTGGCCACACAGTGGCAGCAGAGGTGGGGGCCCAAAGGGCTGCCGCTGGGCCAGCATGGCTTGGTCACAACCTCAGCCAAGGTCCGTGCACGGTCCCCGCCCTGCCTGCCCCCACCTGGAGGAGCCATGCGGTCATCCCCCAGTGTCTGGGATGTTGAAGATGCTGCACAGGTCACTCCAGTTCATCCAGCTGGCACTGACCCTGGGGTTGGAGTCCAGGCCTCCCACCTGCTCAGCCTCGCCCTTGGCAAAGGGCCAGGGCCGGAGACAGGAGGACTGGGCCACAGGAGCAGTCCCAGCTGGAGGACTACCTGGAGGAGGTGAACTTGCAGTGTGAGAGAATAGAGCTGAGAGTGGGCAGTTCTGGAATTGAGGGGAGTGTCTTCCTATCTTTCCAGACCCCAACCCCTTGTTTTCCCAGTGCCTGCAGATCCAGGCATCGTGGGGCTGAGGGCCGGCCCCTTGGCCACTGGGCAAGTACTCTCCTCCCTGCAGATGAGGTAAGATAGGACTCCCCTCCCACCGCTGAGTCCCGAGTGCGTTCCTGTGCCATGCCAGGCCAGGACTTGGGTGAGAGGTCAGTCTTCTGGCCAAGGCCTGGATGTGCGGGAGCAGGTACAGATTGATAGCCTGTCCAGAGAGCAGTGGTGGCTTCACAGCTCAGCAGGTTCACCAGAGGATATTCCAGACAAGGACAGCGGCAAACCAGGGTCGAAAGACAGGCTGAATTATCAGAGCTCTGAATGGCCGGAGAGGGTGTTCCAGGTGGAGGAATAGCCTAAGCAAAGACTCAGAGGAAGAGAAGGGCAGTCGTGTCTGAGGAACAGCGGGGGTGAGGTGAGGGCCAGCCAAGACCTCCCCTGCCAGGCCAAGGTATATAGACTTCATCCTAAGAGCAAGCCTGGCCTGCCTCGGGCTCCCGCACTCCCGCCGGTCTCCCACCAGGAAGGGCCTTCCCCAGGAGTACAAAGGGTGCCTTGTTTGTGGCCCCGGCCCCAGACATCAGCCGTCTCCGGTGCCAGGGGCAGGCCAGGCTGGGGAGCCCCGCCACCTGGCAGGGGCTTTTCCAGGGACCCCAAAGAGACAGGCTGGGCTGTGCAAAGACTGAAGACCCACAGCCAGTGTGGATTCTCTGGAGACTGCAGAGGTAGGGCTTCCTCCTCAAAGAGCTAGGCTGGACAGCAGCCCAGGGCCTGCAGCAGCTTGTAGTTAGCCCCATGGAAGTTAAAGGACAGAATATCAGAGTCATGGCAAGGCCCATGACCCATGGCCCATGGCCCCTGTACCACTGGGGTGGTTCCACTGGGGGATGGTAATCCAGGGACTTGGAAATACAGGTGATGAGAGGGTGGGGGTCCTTGGTGAGGCACCCACAGGGTCCCAGCTCCACCCCCGGGTGGAGGGGTAAAGGGAGGAGCCCCCCAGAAGTGCATCCCACGGACTGGAGCAGGGAAGCACCCCTGCCCCCCACTCTCTTTCTCTTCCTTCCCTGCTCTCCAGCCTCCTGCTAGGGTCTCCCTTTGGCTGAATGCAGCTGGGCACCAAAGGAGCCCTTCTCTCCCAGGCTGGTTCCTTCTGCAAGACCCAGTGCCCGCTGTTAGCCAGTCCTCTGCTGGGCCCACCATGTTCTCACAGACCAGTGCTGCCCAGGAAGATGGGGTGGTCAGTGCAGCACTTTGGGGAGTGGGAAGTTGGGGATCTTCCTGGAGGAGTCTGACTCCAGTTGATTTTCAAAGGGCAAATACCAGGTAGGGAAGTGGTTTTGAGCAGATGCTCAGTCGCTCACACAGCTCAGACTACTTCTGGCCACACAGTAGACTACATTTCCCAGCCCCACTTGCAGCTTGGGTGGTCATGTGACTAGGGCCTGCCAGGCCGCTTTAGGCCTGGCCCATAAAAACTTCCCTCCTGCACCACCCCTGCCTTCATCTCCGGCTCTTCCACCAGCTCCTGTTGATGCAAAGATGACTTTGGAAGCCATGCCAACCATGTCTCCAGAATGGGGGCACTCCCTGGCAGTGTGTTCACCCATTAACACTGCTCTGGGAACAAGAAATACACTTCTTTTGTGACTAAGCCATAATACATTTGGCAGAGGTTATTTGTTGCAGCAGTTAGTCTTGAGAAAGAAGAAACTTTTCATCTGAGGAATGTGAGCCCCCTTTAATTATCAGGCCCAGAGAGGCATTGAAATGTGACAGGGTGTGACTGCAGTCATGTCTCCCTCCCCCATTGAGCGAAATAATTGCCTCTTGAAGCCACTTGCTGCTATGTGGCTCTAGACTAACAGACGCCAGGAGCCATAGAACAAACACTACCTGCTGGACACCACGATGTAGGGGCTGAGGGAAGACGTCCACCCCTCCCTCTGAAGGTTCCCGGGAAATCACTTCACAAAAGGCAGACGCACTGGAGAAAAGACCTGCAAGTATACTCACGTGCACGGGAGATTCCTGGGGTGACTGCCCATATCCCAGTGGGGTGCACATGCTTGCACACCCTAGTTCTATGGGGGAAGGGAGATGGGGAACTGTAGATGATTTTTAGGGGAATTTGATGGGCTTGAAGAACGGCCCGGGGCAAAGTCTCTTGGGCCCAAGCAGACAATGGTTTGTGATAAAGTCTGTCCAGGTGTGTTGATCAACATCAGACTTTCTTCCTGGGATTTGAGCTCAGTTAATGAAAACTCAGGGAAGGGACAGAGGTCACTGTTTTCTTCTTTGGTAGCTTGAGATCTTAGGCAGATAAGGAACTTCAGAGAACAACTTCACCCAGTGCTTTGGGATGCAGCAGGATGGGGTGGGAAGGGGGACATCAGAGAGACCTTGCGGCTTCTTCTTCAGTGCAACAGGTCAAAGTGCCATATTACATTTTGGAGTATTGGTGTCCGAGTCCCAACCATAACTCATATTACCTCTGTGAACCAATGAGAATTCCTGTCAAACAACTCTGTATCCACCCATACCTCATCCTCTTTGCCTTTAAAAACCTGCTTGTAACAAAGGTTGGATGGAGCACTTCCCAGTGTGTCCCAGGCTGCAGTCCTCAACCTTGGCCCAAATGAGCTCCTATATTAATTTTGCCTGCCTTTTTCCTTCCCTCCCTCCCTCCCTCCTTCCCTGTTTCCTTTCTTTGTCTCTCTCTCGTGCGCACACTCTCTCTCTCTTGCTCTCTCTCTTTCAAGATGGGGTCCTACTCTGTCACCCAGGCTGGAGTGCAGGGGTACGATCATAGCTCACTGCAACCTCGAACTCCTGGGCTCCAGCGGACCTCCCACTTCAGCCTCCCAAGTAAACTCAGACTACAGGAACCCACCACCACACCTGACTAATATATATATTTTTAAATTTTTTGTAGAGGTGGGTTCTCACTATGTTGCCCAGGCTAGTGTCAAACTCCTGGCCTCAAGCAATTCTACCACCTTGACCTCCCATAGCACTGGGATTACAGGCAGCAGCCACCATCCCCAGCTCCAGTTTCTTTCTTTAGGTTGACCGTCCCTTTAACAATACACCTGAGGTAGAGGCATGAAAAGACAGACTTACATTGTTCATTCGTGGTGAAAATAAATACTGTATGTATAAGGTGACAAAAATCTAGACAGCAATTTATGTAACTAGCCCCAGCAAGTGGACATATAAGTTACTTTCAGTCTTTTGCTTTTTTTTGAATTGGAGTCTCACTCCATCGCCCAGGATGGAGTGCAGTGGCACACTCATGGCCACCCCAGCGTCGACCTGCTAGGCTCCAGCGATCCTTCTGCCTCAGCCTTCCAAGCAGCCGGTACTACAGGCACACA